AGAAGGCCCTTGAGATAAGTCTTTGGTAGCTTCCCATACTCTCGCTGTACTGAAATTGCAATCTGAGCGGCTGTATGAAGAAAATCAGCAATTGTCTCAAAATCAGATTCCAGACAGCCTCTTGATGTCATAGCTGGGGTGCCTGCAGGGGTAACAGTGAGCCAATTTATAACGCATACTAAGCTCTCCAAACATAGGATACCCCAAGATATTTCTTTCGGTATGAAACTAAGTGTTGATTGAGAAAATGAATACAATAAAAAGGCATACATAAAAAACTCGAATAAAAGGAGCCCAAAATATGAAATATAAGAGGGCATTACTCACCAACCCGTACTCCTCCGGGTATGATAATTCCGTTATCACCAAATATTGTAATTTTGTTGAGAGTAATGTGGCAGATCTCACAAACATTCTCATAGTTTTTACCTACAATTACCATGCCATCAATAAGTTACACAATATAAATGTAGAATAATAGACTAAGCCACCACAGATACCATCAAAATTAGGACTCAGAAGAAATAGACGCATACAAATATGAACAAAAAACAAGTTGTGCGTTGTAATAGATTTTACACCACTCTTAACAAGAGACTTTTGGAGTCATTTGGCAGAAAGGAAGCCCTAAGAAGACAAGAAGTTCTGTGAAACTTAGTGATAACGGGCATCAATATGTCTGATATTACACAAAGAAGAAATCCCCAGACTCATCTCTTATAGCTGTGCTGCTCAAGATAAAGATGGTTCAAAAGCCAAAAACAGTCTATTCCTATACTGCTACAGAAATCTTTGAGGAACTCTGCTAGATAAGTTTAATTTTGCTTAATGCCTACCCTTTTCTGTTCTGCAAATTCTGGATTGTTTGCCAAGGAGGCATCCCTTAAAGTACAAAGCAAAGAATCTTTACTCGTGGAAGTTCGACTAGAATGAAATCATAAATTATTTCAGAAGTTTAGAGTTCATCTTCATTGAATAAAAGGCTTCTTGGAGTACCTTAAAAAAACCCTTTTTTTTTTTTTGTTTTTAGTAACTGCAATCATCATTAGTCGCTGCCAATTGGAGAAACTTATCCAATTCCTAATGGCCTTTTTGGGTTGATTTCTCATCACCCTTTCTGTACTTTTCCATAGTTTTGGTGAGTTTTGAAGGCTATGCTAAGACTTGCCATGACTAACAGTTGCATGCCTTGTCCACAGTTTCATCACTTTTAACACCTTATTAAAGAATGTATTCAGCTTTCTTATTAGAGTAATTAAATGCACAGGCATAATCTATGAAATGAAAAGTCAGACATAATCTATGAAATGAAAAGTCAGACATAATCTATGAAATGAAAAGTCAGACATAATCTATGAAATGAAAAGTCAGACATAATCTATGAAATGAAAAAGAAAAAAAGTACCAGATATTGCTAAATAAAAATCATATTTGTGCCGAAGCAAGTAGTTTTTAAGCTAATTTAACCATATAAAAAAAAAAAAAAAATCCTATTTTGTTTGGCAATTCAGTTGATATAAGAGATATACTTATTCCAAATTATGTAAATCATGTAATGCAATAATAATATAATATGGCATTTCCCCTAATCATAACCCACAGTGCATAACTTAATCAACCCTCGCTGTGCTTGAGCAACGTTTTTTGTGTGCCACTTCCCCCTAGACAAACAAAAAGCTAGTTGTGCAGCTTAAATATATCATGTTCACATCAATTTGCAACATTCGAGTCAAAATTATGCACCTGTCAATCCCAAGGACCTTAGATCCCAGAGTATCATGTGGTTATCCGTGCCACCAGTTACAAGCTTGTACTTCTTTCGAAGTAAAGCAGCAGCCAAGGCTTGAGCATTTTTTTTCACCTGCTGCATATATGCCTTGTACTCGGGAGTAGCCACTTGCTTTAGGGCCACAGCAAGAGCAGCAATATGGTTATTGTGAGGTCCACCTTGTAAAGAGGGAAAAACGGCAAAGTTTATCTTCTCCTCAAAATCATATTGGTCAGTTTCATTTCCCTGATACAATAGCATTGCTCTCTTCCTCGGCTTACTACCCTTCCTATAAAAAATTATACCTCCCCTCGGACCTCGAAGACTTTTATGAGTAGTTGAAGTCACAACATCACAGTACCCAAAAGGGCTGACACATTCCTGTCAGAAAATTCAAACCAAAATCAAAATATGAACGGAAGAGTAGGGATAATTTTCCATCTAAAACTACAAGATTACACATAAAAAGTACTGATGGATCAAACAATATAAGTAGAAAAAAAAAACACAGATGTCAAAGAGCAACATACTATTTTGTTTTAAAAAAAGGAAATAACAATTCACCGAGTAACGAAAGTGCAAGCTTTAGTGACTATGAAACGGGTGTCAAAACATGCACTCTACCATAAAAAAAGTAACAAAAAAAGGTTCAACAAATTGAAAAGGCTCCTGGTCCAGATCTTGGGGCGGGCATAGGAGACCCCATATCGGGTTATTAAAAAATATATATATTCAAGGCATTGTTATAACATGAAGACCTAAAAAAAACTGAAAAATGCATAAATACACTATTGAATGAAAATGAAGAATAGAAGCACGTAGAAACAAAAACTATCTTTAATAAAAGTAGAAAAGAAAAACAATGCCACAGTCATAAGCTTAATGATTCAAAGCATTCACGATTGGCCAATGTACCAACACGTCTTGTCCCAAAATACTTCAATCAATTACATTTTCGTATCACTAAGTCTCATAGCCAAAGCCATACATATCCTAAATACCAAAAACCACAATGAAGTCCCCACACAGCCACCTTTGAAGACATGTCTGAATATCAGGTAAAACAATTCAAATATCTTAATTATATTAACAACCAACTAAATAGAGACCCAAGAGAATGAAGACAGGATAGTAACTAGTACATGTGATAAGAAAAACCAAAAGATATATACACAGATATTCAAGGGTCGTATTTAGATGGAGAAAAAATCACACCTTGGCAGCAACAAGGCCACTAATTTGAGCCATATCACACATCAGAGCTGCTCCACATTTATCTGCAATCTGCCTAAACCTTGCATAATCCAGTTCACGAGGATACGAGCTCCCACCACAGATAAGTATTTTTGGGCGAAAGTCAAGTGCCCTCTCCTCAAGCTTATCATAATCGATATAACCAGTTTGTGGATTCACCTTATATGGCAAACTCTCAAAGAAAATTGAGGCCCCAGAAACTTTTCTTCCATTTGGGGTACAGTACCCATGGCTTGTATTACCACCAGAAGGAGTATCCAACCCCATGATCCGATCGCCCGGCAATAACAGACCAGTGTAGACAGCAAAGTTTGCAGATGTGCATGAATAAGGTTGCACGTTAACTCCCCAATTATCAGAACTAAGACCAAATGCCGCCAATGCGCGCTCACGACATAGGGTTTCAATCTCATCTATATATTGATTTCCACAGTAATACCTCGCACCGGGCATACCTTCCGAGTACTTATTAGTCAAATGGCTTCCCAATGCTTCCATTACAGCCCGACACACATAATTTTCAGAAGCAATCAATTCAATGCCCTTGAATTGCCTCTGCTTCTCCTTCTCCATAATCCCAAATAGGTTAGGGTCCGCAACTCGAAGGGTCTGATCACCCCATGACCGTACAGCACTCCTTCGTGTCTCTATATCAAATTCACACGAAATTCTTTTCGCAGAACTGGAGGATGTCGAAGATTCGCCATCTCTTCGACGCTTCAAACACATAGGATGACCCAAAATCCGAAACTCTTCTACCTCCCTGTCGTCGTATTCATCGTCATCTCTCTCCGCATCTCCACCATCATTTCTGTGACTCTCCGTCTGCTGTTCCATCAACTGAAGAGGGACTGGGGTGGACGAATACGAGGATTCCCGTCGAGAAGAATCGAGATGCAGCAAGACGGAATCATCGGCAATCTGAGCACGGTGAGGCGGGGAAGCATGCGATGAGAATCCAAGAGAAAGGTTGGAATGGGACTTAGACAAATCCATTAACTACGAACAAAGCGAAGAATCAGAGTCTTAACCCTAGCAAACAAAATCCAATCCCCCAAAAGTTACACCTCCTGTAAACAACCACAATCGGAGATAGAAAAATTGAACGAAATAAACCCCAACAGAATTTCCTGATCAGCAACAACAGCGACAACAAGAAAAACAGCAGCAGAGGCGATTGAGGTCGGTAAAACAGAGAAGCTCGAATGTTGGTTCCATTGAACTCAATGAAACGTCCATGGAAAGCCCGGAAACAACAAAATTCCTGAAAACTAAGAGAAATCTCTCTAAAAATGGAGGTAAAGGGATACAGAAGGGAAGGGAAGAAGAACTGGACGATGACGGGATGAATCTTATTTCGGCTGTGGAAGTCGAAGGACGAACCTGGACACACACATAATTATTTATTATTTTTTTCTTCAAATATATAAATAATAATTAATTATGTGCGTGGACAAACAAAAAAAAAAAAAAAAAAAAAAAAAAAAAAAAAAAAAAAAAAAAAAAAAAAAAAAAATCTTTTTTGATAATTCAAAATTACCCAAACAATTCAACCTAATCCAATGTAATTATATTATTTAGTTGTTTTTTTTTAATACATTAAAAAATTTATTTATGCATTAATAATCAAAATGGTTCAAATATTAAATATTTATAAGTTAACTTACAGTCCATTATTAATATTTTAAATACATATTAAATTTATGCAATAAATTTATCTATCAATTTTATGATTTTTCTTTAATTTCACATAAAAAATTGTTTCAGTCAAACAATTTTCTTTTGATGAAAATTTGCACCACTTCAGTATATATATATTGTATATGTGTGTGTATATATATATATATATATATGTATGTATGTATGTATGTATATGTGTGCTTGACCCGACTCCGAAAATCCAGGCCCAATTTAAATGTAAGCTGTCGGCCTTATTGGGCCGAGGTGGCCCACTCCGTACTTCAATTAGTTAAGCAAAATGCAAAGAATCGGAGTTTTTAAACGCATTGCCTTGAAAAATCGGAAGCCAGATAGTGAAAACCGGATGCCATCTCGACCGCCAAATTCAGTTCGAGCTTTGCCGGTGATCGCCATGTTCTCCACCGTCCGATCCACCTCCGTCCTCGTCTTCTTCGTTTCCCTCCTCATTTCCTCACTTTCGCAAGTCCTCGCCTCTGAGTCTGATCACAAGGTACAGCTTTCGTTCTTCTCGATCTCTCCATTTCCTCCCACTCCAACTCGTAATAAAGTCAAGATGGCGATGTTTGAAAGTCTATGCGGTAATGTTGTGGGTTTGTAGTGATATCATGGCCTTTGAATTGTTAGATCTCGCTGTCTTCTTTTGAATTGACTCAGATCTGCGGAATCCCACGTTCCTTTAGCTCTGGGATTTCGGTTTAGTGGGTGTATAAATTGCCATTTTAGGTTTTGGATGCTTGGGGATGGGATGGGAGAGAGGGATTTTGATTACTGTGTTTGATCATTTATTTTCTTAAGCTCAAGAGCCTCAGGAATTAGGTGTTCGTTCTCATGGAGTGTAGATGACGCTGAGGGTTATTAGATCTCAATCTCATCCGTGGTTGTACATATGCTATCCTCTTCTTTATCGACAGTTTTTTTCGTTCGAAGTAGACCTCTGAAGTGCAATGAAATGGGGACGCATGGGAGATCTGTGGTGTATTGCTATAATTTCTGCTCGCAGTGACTCGGGATGCTGTCTGATTCTCAAGGGCAATCTTTAAAATGTTATATGACTAGACTAGAAGGAAAGTCAGGATATAAATTAAAGGCCTCTTGCTGATTCCCGATCACATATAAGCCATTATCATTAAATCTGGACGGAAATCTACTAACCCAACTAATGGAGGCGTGACCTTTGTGCTTTGACCTTTGCAAATAGGAGAGCTGTCATGGATTTTGTGGCTTATTGTTCTTTAGGGAGCGTCAACCAATTATAGTACACGAGAATTTGTATGGTATCTGGCTATCTGCCTCCAGAAACGATTCGTTTCACTATCAGCTTGGATATCTTTTGTGATTTTTATCATTTTGTGTTATTTCTACGGTTATTTTACTTTGTAGTTTCAGCACATGGTAACTGTAGTTCTGAATCAAACAACAACTTGCATGCTAAATCTAGTTGAGTAACTGTTATCTTTATGTATACTTCAATCGTCAGTTGTAGCAATTTCAGAGTTCCAATCTGAAATGGTCTTCGTCAAATTTCCAACCTTTTTACTTTCAACTGTGTATACTCTGGTCGTTGCCGCACCATCATTATGTCTTCTTTATTTATTAAATGCTATTTTTCCTTGCTTTTCAGTTATAAATTGTTTAGCATCAAGCTTATCCTACCATGGCCCCACCTTTTTCTGTTTTTCCTTGTAGTATCAACCAGATGAATCAGTCACTCTATGGGTGAATAAAGTTGGTCCGTACAACAATCCACAAGAAACATACAATTATTACAGCCTTCCATTTTGCCATCCGTCTGGCTATCCTGGTCACAAATGGGGTGGTCTTGGTGAGGTCCTCGGAGGAAATGAACTTATTGACAGTCAAATTGAGATTAAGTTCCAAAGTATGTAAACGTCTTTTCATATTTGAAGATTGAATGGAGGTCTTGCAGAGATCATAGTCAAACTGTTGCTGATACCAAAATTTTCGTTTTTGCAGAAAATGTGGAGAGGACTACTATTTGTCAATTGGAGCTTGATGAACCAAAGGTTAAGCAGTTTAAGGATGCAATTGAGAATGGCTACTGGTTTGAGTTTTTCATGGGTATGTTCTACACAGTGTTCTTGTTTAAGGATCTATATGATATAAAAAATTGATGGGATTTTCTAATACCGTGGCTGTAGATAAAACTTCAATTTCATTAAGTCAATATAAAAACTTTGCGTACTTTAAGTCCTATGTCTAACATTGTAAGACTACAGTACTCGGTCCATGCATGCAATATTAGAGCCATTTTGATATGCATATTTTTCACTTAGTTTATAGTCATGTTTCTCTTCGTCAGAAAATCTAATTTGCATAATTTACATTCTCTCTCTTATGACCTATGAATCTAAGGGAAGGTAATTGCATCATCACTATCAATCTCTAATAAAATATTTGATATATGTTCTTATTTGACAAGTTTCCATCTCTTATTGTTGTGCATTGCAATTCTCGGTCGACAGTAAAGCAGATCAATTTCTTGATTCATTTTTCTTTACTGGTCATCTTTATAATTATTGAAGGACCTACTTATCGATACTTTCTTCTTCTGATGTTTTATCTCATGATGCGTGATGGGGAATAAAACTTCAGATGATTTGCCTCTGTGGGGTAAGTGCTTTATCTTATTGTATTATAGTTTGATATCTTGAATAACGAACAATTTGGTTGTTCTAAGTTACTCTTGTTGTCCCCTTTTCGTTTTTAGGCTTTGTTGGTGAGTTGCATCCTGACAAGAATAGCAATAATGTTAAGCATGTCCTTTACACGCATAAGAATATCATCATCAAATATAATAAAGATCAGGTTTTGTTTCCCACCTCATGAGTTGCATGGTTTTCTTCTTTTCCTTTTCATTTTATAATTTATTTAACTATTTTTTTGGAGGGTTTTGAATTCAATATAGATATGATTTAACAACTAAGTTGTGTTTCTTACAGATTATTCACGTGAATCTCACTCAAGAAAACTTAAGGCCGTTGGACGTTGGAAAGACATTGGACTTGACATATGCTGTGAAGTGGATTCCTACTAACGTCACTTTTGCTCGACGATTTGATATTTATTTGGACTACCCATTCTTTGAGCATCAGGTGACAGATGATCCCCCCTCCCCCTTCTTGATTTGTTTTCATATTTTTTCTATATGACTAAATATGCTTCCTTCCATCTTGGTAAATTCTTTAACTTCTCACGGTATCTAATTCCATGCCTGTGTTCTATCATGATCCAATATTGAGATAATTGTCTGGCATTTGGCAACTTGGCAGATTCATTGGTTCTCCATTTTCAATTCATTCATGATGGTTATTTTCCTCACTGGTCTGGTCTCTATGATATTGATGCGGACTCTTAGAAATGACTATGCTAAATATGCACGTGAAGATGATGATCTGGAAACTCTGGTCATACTTTCTTCCCTATCATATGTTATGCTACTTAATATTCTATTTTATATTCATTTTCAATTTTTATGCTGAAAAGTCTTCTACCTTCATTTTTTTTCCTATGTTGTGACCCCCCCCCCCCCCCCCCCCCCCCCCCCCTTCTTCTTTTTCAGGAGCGAGATGTTAGTGAAGAGTCTGGCTGGAAACTCGTCCATGGGGATGTTTTTCGACCTCCTCGTAATTTAGTAATTCTTTCAGCTGTTGTTGGTACAGGTGCTCAGCTTGCATTGCTTGTTCTCCTTGTCATCCTATTAGCAATTGTTGGAATGTTATATGTTGGGTAAGTTGGAAAATCTTTTCGTAATGTTTTGAAAATTGTGTCACTAAGAAAGATTTCCAGCTCTTGGCAGTCTTTTCATGCCACATGAACACAGACTGCCTATGAGCTCATCGTTTGACTACTAAAGATAGAGATTTCATCTTATCTGTCTGTTGCTTTCTATTATTTACACAGGAGAGGAGCAATTGTCACAACTTTCATAGTATGCTATGCACTTACGTCATCCATTTCTGGCTATGTTAGTGCTGGGATGTACTCACGTAATGGGGGTGAGTACATTTTATCAGTTTAATGACTTCCCTTTCTTATTTGTTCACAAGGCTTTAGCGTGCAATATTGGTTGGTAAAGCTACCTGAGATATTTCTTTGAGTTGTAATACCATAACTTTTTTTCCTTAAACATCTCTTACAGTGGCTTTGGCACTTGGCTGCTTATTTCTTTGACCCTTCGTGACTTTGTTGTTATCATGACAGGTAAAAACTGGATAAAATCAATGATCTTCACAGCATCTCTTTTCCCATTTTTGTGCTTTGGGATTGGGTTCATCTTAAACACTATTGCTATATTCTATGGGTCTCTAGCAGCCATTCCCTTTGGTACGATGGTTGTGGTCTTTGTCATTTGGGCTTTCATTTCTTTTCCTTTGGCACTTCTTGGTACGGTTATTGGACGAAACTGGAGTGGTGCCCCTAACAATCCATGTCGTGTGAAAACTATTCCACGTCCTATTCCTGAGAAGAAATGGTACCTCACACCATCTGTAGTCTCCATGATGGGAGGATTGCTGCCTTTTGGTAGTATTTTCATAGAGATGTATTTTGTCTTTACATCCTTCTGGAACTACAAGGTAATTTTGCAATTCTATTTGTTTCTGAGGTTATTAAAGGTGATGTGGAGATAACTGGTAGTATAGTAGTTTGAAACTTCAGTGCATACTAGGCATTGCAACATTTAAATGGTTATTGTTTACTTCTAGAGCACTTTATTGGAATGAGCTTGTGATGCCAAATTATTCCATACCTGTTTCAAGTTTTGAAATCAATGTAGTTGAGAATTTCAAAGACAAAGGAATTATTAACACAGAGTAAACCACTTCGATTTGTTTATTATGCATGGGAAAAGACTCGTTACCTTTACTAGTTTCTGTTCTTGACCAATTGCTCCTGTACATCCTTAAAATTAGTGGAGTATGAGAATCTTTTTCATGAAATCAACGGCATTTTGTTTGAAGATTAGAGTTCGGTTGTTTAATTGTTTGGTCTCTAAAGATAAGTGCCAGGTGTGTTGGCAGTGCTGATATGGTATAAGAGCTTACTAGCTTGGCCTATAACTTGTTCCTTTTTCCACAGGTGTACTATGTATATGGATTCATGCTGCTAGTTTTCCTAATCCTCATTATCGTTACTGTTTGCGTGACCATTGTGGGAACATATTTCTTGCTTAATGCTGAGAACTATCACTGGCAATGGACTTCTTTTTTCTCTGCTGCTTCAACTGCTGTCTATGTGTACTTCTACTCGATATACTACTATTATGTGAAGACCAAGATGTCCGGCTTTTTTCAGACCAGCTTCTACTTCGGATACACATTGATGTTCTGCCTTGGATTGGGAATTCTTTGCGGTGAGTTCTTACAATTACTGGCATCATTAAGTTCGTACATGGTGTTTTCTTTTGCTTACCTGAAAAGCGGCATCCGAGTTCCGTCCGTGCAAAATGCCGATGCTCATCTAAGAGCCAATTTCACGCTATTCTTTTTTATGTCTATCGTTTCGATTCCGTTTGTTTTCTTATTTCTGTCAATCCAATTCAAATTTGTAGGAGCTGTTGGTTACCTGGGATCCAATTTGTTCGTACGGAGGATCTATAGAAACATCAAATGTGATTAGGGGTTTTGTAGAAGCAAAAAACCTACGCTACCTTGAAGCATTTTGATAGTGGAGGCAATAACTTCGAGAAGCTCTTGATACATAGGGAAGGAGGGAGGGAGGAGGCCTAGCAACGCAGTAATACCTGTAGAAATTAAAGTTTTGAGATGGGGACATGCTCTTGTATTCTTTTTGGTAATTGATGTGTCTTCCCCCAACTGTAATTGAATATCTTGATTTAGAATTTGAGAGATTGTTTTTCATAATGTAGAAAAGTTGACAAAATTGTTAGACTCATGTTATTTTTATGATATTTTGTCATTCACACATCAGTGAGAAATGGCCCATGCCTATTTCTATACTATAGTTTTATCATACGATGGTTGTATCCCTGTCTTAGAAGGTAGTTGAAGACTGGTATTTAAGTATTATTAAAGGATGGTTTTGAGTTTATAGAACATTAGTATTTGTTTTTTTATTTAGAAGGTTACATGTGATGTCTCACGTTGGTTGGGGAGAACATAATATCATTTATAAGGGTGTGGAAACCTTCTCTTAGCATACACGTTTTTAAGCCTTAAGGGGAAACCTGAAAGGGAAAGCCCAAAGAGAACAATAAGGGAAACCTGAAAGGGAAAGCTCAAAGAGAACAATATCTGCTTCTAATGGTATCAGACAGAGCCAGACACCTGACAATGTGTCAGCCTTCTTGTTGCTCCCCGAAGGGGGTAGACACGAGATGGTGTGCTAGTAAGGACACTGGGCCCTGAAGGGAAGTGGATTTGGTAGCGGTCCCACATCGATTGGAAGAAGGAAAGAGTGCTGGGCCTCAAAAGGGGTGGATGGTGATGTCCCACATTGGTTGGGAAGGAGAACAAAACACCATTTTAAGGGTGTGGAAACCTTCCCAGTTACGTTTTAAAGCCTTGAAGGGAAGCCCAAAGAGGACAATATTGACTAGCGGTGGATCTAGGCCGTTACATTACATAAATGGTCATATTTTGTTGGAACGAAGAAAATCCAGTGAGAGAGGGTCGTGTGGCTGCCACGGCCTCTCGTACCATGGTCCCCAAGGCTGATGATGTAGAGATAACATTAGCATTAGCTGTGGCCTCTCATTTCAGGACTCATTTTTAAGCCACACAATGTCATTTCCATTGGCTATGATGGCTATAGCCTCTCATTTCAGGATCTCCATTGTTTAGCCTGCTGTAGCCATTCCATCTCTTCCACCTCCTTTCTGCTTGGAGCTTTGTAGCAATAGTAGAGTAGCAGAATGGTTAGCACCACATCAATTTCCAGCACCCACCATGATTAACACCTCCTTATTCTGGCTGCAGCATCCTACGGTTAGTATCGAACTTCGGCCATGGTCTGTTCGGGCTGATGGTTGGTAGCTGTGCTGGGTGAGTGATAGCATGGCAGAGTACAATGTGAAGCTGATCACACCAGATGGATCAGTCAGATGGCAGCTACCTTGAAGAGACGAACAGGCTGCATAATGTCGATCACCAAAGCGCGTGCATCGTTAATATATGTTAACGAGTTTTCAACTTTTCAAACATTTTTTTTAGATCAGATTTAAAATTGTGTCATATTAGTTTTTTTTTTTTTTTTTTTTTTTTTTTTTTTTTTTTTTTTTTTTTTTTTTTTTTTTTTTTTTTTTTTTTTTTTTTTTTTTTTTTTTTTTACTTTTCAGTTTATGCTAGATTTGCTGAGGCACATTGCACAATTTGAATAAGTTTGAATTCATGTTATTCGTATTTAAATTCTACGAATTTAATTTTATTCTCAATTTTAACAGGTACATAAATAATAAAGAGTATTAAATAATTTAAATACTAAACATAAAATTAAATATTTAAAAGATTTATTGGACCTGACATTGAAAATTTAAACACTTTTTAAAATTTAAAACTAAAGAGATAAGAAATTATTAAATATTTTAAAGATCAATGACCATGGACGAGAGTGAGACCGATTTTAATCTCGTTTTTTACACCAATACTAATAGTTTTCTTTCGAACATTTTAAAAATGAAATCCCTGATAGGACGTGAGTTATACTATAGGCATGGGGAAAAGAGAAGCTCTCGCACATAGAACTTGTATACATTGTACACGAGTTTTGTGGCACCACCTGAGAGATTAGGCTACGCGTTATGTCATTTCATATAAAAGTTGTGTGAATGATACATAGTTTACCTTAAACCGTTATTGGATGTGATTCACTTAATTACTCATACACACGGGACAAGATTAGCTTAATTGTGGTTCAGGTATACGATTCATTTTTTACCATACTTTTTTTTTTTTTTGGAAGTATTCAATATTTATTTTTATTTATTTAAATTACATTATTTGTTCAAGAAATCAGGATAAGAATCCAAACCCTTACCATTCATTGGCAAAAGATAAGACGTTGAGCCACAGCCACATCCTCAAATTTCACCCTCCACATTAAGGCCACACGCCCAACATCATCCTCTTTAAAAAACCCCCCTACAACCTCTCAATCCCATTTCATCTCCACAAAATACAAAACATGGGCAGCACCACCGCACTCACCGCCCCAATTCCGGTCACCTCCTTCCTCCGACGGCAGCAGCCGGTGACCGGGGTAAGCCTGAGGCCATTTCCCAACGTGGGTCAGTCTCTGTTTGGGCTGAAACTCGGCAGCAGTCGCGGTGGAAGCATGACAGTGATGGCATACAAGGTGAAGCTGATTACACCAGAGGGAGAGAAAGAGATTGAATGCAGCGGCGATGATTACATTCTTGATGCGGCGGAAGAAAGCGGCGTTGATCTGCCGTACTCTTGCAGAGCAGGGGCGTGTTCTTCGTGCATTGGGAAGCTGAAATCAGGGAAAGTGGATCAATCTGATAACAGCTTTCTTGATGATCAACAAATGGAAGATGGGTGGGTTCTGACTTGTGTTGCAAGGCCTGAATCTGATATTGTAATTGAGACCCACAAGGAGGAGGTCTTTGCTGATTCTGCCTAATTCTTTTGTTTACATCTTGTTGTTCATCAGTCATTACGGTGTGATGAGAGTAAGCAAAATGGATACTGTTTTTACCTTTGAACTTGATTTGATATTATCTCTCTGTTTAATGTTTGTATGTCTTTGTTTATCAATGGTTTAATCTGATTTTGTTGACTTGGGTTCTGTTCATCTGTTGTCTGAGCTCTTCATCTTCGTTTCTTTTTGGCATCTAAGATGTTGAAGCAAAGTTATTGGTGATGCAATCTCTTAGCTTAATATACTCAAAATATTGTTCTTGTTCATCAGTTCATGTAGGTTCATTTTCGCTACTTTTAGCTTAATAAAGTGGTTGAATGTTGGGTTTCTTGGTTGTGTTAGTACTCCTCCTAGCTATGGATTTCTCAACGAATTGAAATATACTAAAACTTTGCTCAATAATACCATTCTATCACGTAAATCTTGGTGAGTAGATTGATGTGCTATCTTTAAAATTTAACATGTTTAATATAAGTTTGATATGATGTTTTAGATCATAAAAGCGTCAAAATTATGTGTGTATATATATTTTATAAATGCTAATGATGAGTAGGGAGTTATCCATAAGAGATGAATCTCATGAAATTATGCCTTATCATTGGTCATTGAAAGATAAGGTTAGCCATAGCCAAAGCCACATGCTCTGATTTCACTCTCCAAATTAAAGCCACACAGCCATTATCTCACTTTCACCATACCCTCAGTCCATTCCAAGTAGCAAAATGGCCAGCACCACCATTGTAGTTTTCGGCCCCATCACCGACAATTCCTTCCTCAGGCGATCACTGAGGACGGTGTTGGGCGTGCATCTGTTCAGGCTGCAGAAGGGCAGCAAATGATGGTGTTTTTAGCGTAATGATTCAAGTGTATCATTAAAGCTAGGTGTTGTATGTGGGGTTTCAACTTATTTGTGCTTGTTCATCAGTCATTTGGGACCCTTCTAGCATCTAAGAAGTGAAAGTAAACCAATCATACTATTGAAGTGGATTACTTTATGTCTCTTTCTCTCAGTGTTTTTGTATGTTGGGTTTCAAGGCAGTAATATTCAGAACACATCACAGCATTTGAGGGAAGAATAAGAAATGAAAAACCATACGAGAGCATCAAGGCAGCAATAATTACTGATTCTTTTTTTTTCTAATGGTTAAGCTTGATGGTCTCCATCATGTCACTAGTGATTTCTTCCTATCTTGATGTACAAATGAAACTGAAGTACCTTTTTTTCATGAGGTATAAAAGATTGGTTGAGATCGCTTACCGAATCATTCGAGTCAAATGTGTTCATGTCCTTTGGAACAAGTCGAAAAGTGAATCAACCTTGCTATCTTCTCCACCTTCTGCATTATTTTCATGGTCATTCGCAGGAGCATGAGAAACACTTGCAGATTGTGATAGATAATCCGCCATATTGGGGGGAAGTTCATGCATCCGTAAGCTTGAAGACTCAATAATGGCCTCCAGTTGTGTAGAAGATTGTATCGTCACCTGATTCAAAGTGTCGAAAGATGTGCTCCTTGACAACGTACCCGACGCAACGGTTATTTCATCTCGCTCATCAACCAATGATTCAAGTGAACATATTGATCTTGTAGTGACAGAGTGTACAGAGTCACGTTTGGACCTCTCCTTTACTCTCTTGCACCAACTATGCAGTGACTCTCTCACACTCTCAGCCACCAATGCTTTCTTACACTTGGATCCCATCTGAAGGTTTTCAGAAAATTATTGCAAATTCTAGAAAATTCAACTTTTTAAAACCGTAAAATCAATTTGAATTTATATACACTATTTTGTTGTACAAAAAGTTGGACAAACCTGCGTAACAATTACATTAAGTGGCACTGTGCTGTAGCTGCACCAAAACTGAACAAGAACACTGCATAGAGAAGGGATCTAATAAATTGATGAATATACAGATTGCAAGACTAGATGGATAATCAAATTAGAAGCTAAGAGGACCGCTAAAAAACCATAATAGATTAAATACCCTAGTTTATCAACTTTTTTGGGTTTTATGGTATTTAATAGGGATGTTTAGGAATTTAGTCCTGTTTTTTATTTTATTATAAAACAATTAGTGAATACATGTTTGGAAAATCAATTTCAGTTACCTAATAATATCAATAATCACAACTATAAAAAACAGTTCGACAGAACAAATTACCTAACATCCCAAAATCATATCTACATGACACAGGAAACAGTAGAAGTGTAAACAACATACAATTTTTAATTTCTTGGTATAACTGGAGGAAAATTTTACCCAGAAGTCAACCGCGTGATTATCATAAAGTCGTTCTTCATGAAGCAAGATCTCTCCTTAAATCCCCACTGAAGTTAACAAATGTCCAACTCTAATTAATTACCCATGATTGAAAAGGAAATAATCATAACACTTTTTTTGTGGCAAATGTGAGCAAAGAAACATTTAAGTGGTTGTGTTTGGACATTTTCTTACCAAAGACCAGATAAATGTCGCCATCTCAAATGCGTTCTGTGAGTACGAGTCATAAACAAAGAAACAGCATCAATAATTTATCAAAGAAAGAGTGATGATCTAATTATATGAAAATCTGACGTGTGCTGGACCTGAAAAATGATGAATTGTATTAACCGTAGTAATATCTCAGGCTTTCCAAACCAAAACAGATCATCTCTTGGCTTTATTTGAGTCCCAATTGCTGCTGGACCTGTTTGTGCCAGAATTTCAAGTGCCAAAGAGGAGACTACATGTTGAAGTTTTGTCCCAACCAGCATAACAAGCTTTGTGCCAAAACAATCAAGGGCAATTATCAGTTCTAGAACAATTTATATTATTGGTTAAAAAATTATAACGTGTATACTTACAGCAGCCGGAATGAAAGAAAGCCAAAAGTAGATATTTAAACCTGTTGTATAGAGACAACTTTAGGCAACCAGAAAATAAAGGAAGAAATAAGGCATTTACGGTGTCTTTATAATATCATTCTGGCATGAAACGTTACCGTGAATGTTAACAAAGATGCAAAGAATGGCGTAGCCCCATAGTGGGTAGCTGCATGATACATAACTAAATTCAGCCATCTTATTTCCACCAATGAAACTGATTTATTTCATAAAAAACTGCATACCTAATTCCAAGGATTCCATGGAACTCGTCTTCCATGCTCCGAACCATGTACTTGTGGAAGTCATAAGAAATTGGTAGTTTGTGCTTCTGTGTGTTATTAGAGCAGGATGTAAAAATGACACGTATTGAAGCAGATAACTTAATTTTATAAATTGTGTTGTCCTTAAATCACCTAGTCACACATTTCATTATAAAGTGTATACAGGTGGCTCAAAAGAAAATTTGAAACTTCTATGTCTACCTGTTATATTAATTTCTTATTTGATCATCTAAATAAAGTTGGACTGGATCGACTATGGTACTGTAAGACATCTAGATCCTTATCTGAAAAGGAGCAATTCTTTCTTTTCACCTCACAAAAACTCGATACCATATGCTTTTGGTTTCGCATTGCATGAACAACAAAGCTGCAGTTTCTACATAAGTTTTTTTTTTCTTTTCTTTTCCAAATATATAGTGGCTATTATAGGCATTCCTACTAGCTGATGGAAAAAGGAATTAATCCCGAATACTCACTGTAATGAATCCCAAGCGGAGGGCCAAGTAGTCTGATTTCCTTATCGAACTCTTGAACTGACGTAGAAAACAAAGCTGCATTGAAAACCATCCTTATTTGATTCATTGCTAGCATAGAATAAGAAAGTCATCCAATGAGTTAAGAAATTCAAAACTGCAAATTGCTGAATTCATTAATTGACCTGGATTGAAATTGGGGAACTCTTACTGTATCATCAGTTCATTTCATCTTCTGAAGTTTTGATTATCTTGATATTATTCAAAAAGTGTGTTTTCTTTTTAAAAAAAAAGTCAAATTTTTTTTCCTTAGTTACCAAAAATTTGCCGACTTCTCTCAGTTCACAAGCATAAGATTAGAGAATGCTAATTAATCCTTCAATATTTAGTACTAAAAAGCGCATATATAGTTTTTGCTTTCTTCTAAGATCCAGTGAAAAGCCAACCCATCGTTCACGTATAACGTTTGAGTTACAGTAAGAATCCTACTAGCACGAAACTATCCTATCTAGGGGACAGCATCCTAGCAGAAACATGCAAAAAGTAAGCATTATTTAAAAGAAATAGGAAAATACCATCCATATGAGAATAGGATTCCTGCTCCATGGATGAGATGTGTGATGGAATACAAATGTCGTTTGCCGCCTCATCACCTTATATTTTTTAGCTAGAACCAAAGGAATGAGACAGTAGGTGAGAAATAAAAAGGTTCTGAAGAAAAAAAATATTAAAGAATAGGTCTGAACTAGACGATTGGATTGATTATTAAAAACATAACAGAACACACAAGTATGCTTCAATACCAAGAGGAACGTATTTCTCCTTTTGTCCTAGATTGGTATACCTGGCCAATTTTCTTCAGCAGATAATCTAATTTGATTTTCCCATTTCTTCCAACTGTAAATCTACAACAAAGAGGCGCATAGAAATTTAGTAAAGCTAGCAATTGACTGTGAGGGAATAGTCACAAAGAGGATCTGTATCAATGCATCCAAATGACATCATTTTGTTCAGGGCATACATAAAAGAGTAAATATACCCTAACATGTGTTCATGACCCTGTAATACGATATCATAGAAAAATCATGTGTTCATGACCCTGTAATATGATTTTATCACTAAATTGATGCTGAAAACCCCTACTGAGCTCTGTGTTAGTTTTTGAACTCACAAGTGAGAAAGAAAGGTTAAGAATAAGAATATATGTACAGGAATAAATATACTCTTATATATTAACTTTATGTTTTTAACTTAGTGGTGATTTAATATATTTTGAAAGGTGAAAAAGGATCTCCATCTGCTGTTATGTTGAAATCATATGATTGTACATCCTTGCTGTGAAAATGCAAGATTAGACTCTCTCCTTATTGTTGTTCTACGTTTTAAATCTCTAGTATTCTTGTGAATCAGAACGTAAATTTAGAATAAAGTTTGTACCTTACTCATCGCCAGACCAACTGCCAGACAACTATAAAGAACATGAGTGATCCCAAGAACGAATAAGAAGCGATGGAGTTGTTCGAGTCCCTCATATGAAACAAAAGGCTCGCGACCCTGCAATCAACAGCTAGAATTTCTTTAGCCTTTTTTCTCTATTTTTTTTTTCCAAGCATGAAAGCAAAAGATGGAACTAGATGCTCATTTACCTCGCCACATTGATGAGGGAGAGCACTTAATCCTCTTCGCCGAATGCCAATTTCATTAGAAGATAAAAGAGAACTTTCAACCATAACGTGTTCATTGGTGGCATAATCTTCTTCCGAACAAATGTAGAATCTACTGGTGAAAAGGGATGAGTTCACACAAATTTCGGAGATCCACCTTGCACATTGTGCCAGCATCAAAGATATAAGTCCAAGCAGCATCAGCTCTACCAAGATGGAAACAAAATTCAAAACCGAAAGATGCAAAACTATAAACTTGGTGGCATTCGAATCTATAATGAGAAGATGCTTAGGGTGTGCTCTCATGATTTTTGGAATAGATAAAAATTCTTTTAGTCTGTTAAAAGCACATTTAACAAACTTTATGGTGTTTTTGTTACATAATCACTAGCAAAGGCAGCAATGTATTTTCAGCTACCTTCCTTGATCTTCTCCAGAGAAGCAAACAGAGCCTTTCTCTTTGTCTTCTTCAACCACTGCGCAGAAAATGCCTCCATCAAGACAATTTAGCATCTTTCTTCTTGTCACTGACAGTCATTTTCTATAATTTCATACACTTTTAAAAAAGAACAAAAAATTTCATTTTTGCCTTTCCCCAAATTCTCACTCACCTGAGCTTAGTATGTATGCCAACCTTAACTCTCCATAAATCATGTCAACTAGATACACACATATACATCTATACAGTTCTTCCTCATCTGAGAAAACTCTTTCATCTTATCACATGTGTTATATTTTTTTCTAAGTGTTCGGGATAATCAATATTTCCATTGTATTGCAAAGATAGAGACAATATACAAAAATGTCAACGAAATATCACTAGAAAGAACATGAATTGATTGAATGCCTGTTTATTCATTCAAATACTTGTCATGGATTTCCTCATCTTCATACTTTTTTTTCTTTCAAAATACTCGTTTGCATTGATACTTGGTAGAACATTTTCATAAAATTTGAGAAAGTCAATGTTTAAATCCTTGCTAGTCCCTCAGCCACCAAACAAAAGGCCAGCACAATGCTTTCATTATACCATCCCTTCCCACATTTGTAAGAAACGAAAAATCAGTCAACTAGTGTTCCTTACGCAAATTAAAAAAAGAAAAGCAACCAAACTAAACAGAGCATCACTTTCACCATACCTTTCCAAATCTATAGATTGCCCGCTCCACCACAAAGCAGACGAAGACCATGACAGTAACCACAGAAGCAACCGAGTAGGTCGGCGTCTCGGCCAGTGACCTTCCTTCTTGGAACTCCATTATCACTCACCTGGAAGAAAGCTTCGCAAAAAGTAAACCAAAACCAAATAACTTGCTAGCGATACAAAATAAAAAAAAAATCTCGAGAGAATGAAGAGCCAGTGAAGACGAAAGATCCAGGAAAGTTGGCGGTGGAAGAGAAGTAGAGAGAGGAGATCATCTTTAATGTAAATATCCCAGGATCTTCCATGTTGTTTGCTTCTTCAACATGTGCCATGAACTACTATTCAATACTATAATATTATAGATTGTCTTTCTTCCTTCCTTCCTTCCATCGTTTCTCTGATTCCGATCTGCGCTTGCGGCTCGTAAATTCGTAAATAATGAATTAACCTGTGGCTGCGTGTAGCCCTGCATCGACATTGCCGCCATTTTTGATTCGATCCAGCCACAGAGCTCGATGGCGCTCACATGGCTGAACAATGGACGTGGAAGAACTGGAGTCCAATTTTGTGAATAATTCTTACAATTTTGAATTTTTTTAGTAAAGAAAAAAGTAGTGGGAAATGGGAATTTACGTGACTTTCACGTGCTGCTACCAGTTTAAATATTTATTTTAATCAATATTAATGAAAGATAATTCAATTAAAAATCATTAGTTATTTACTTTATAAATATAAAATTAAAACATAATTATTAAAAAGTATAAAGAATATAAAATAAAGTCGTTTTGATTTTCTTTCAGATTTTGAAAAATTTTAATTATTTTAAATTTATATAATAAATATTAAACTTTTGAGACCAAATAATTCATTTTATAATTAACCTGAACCATAAAAAAAAAATAAAAAAATAAAGTTATAATTCAGCCTTTAAGGGATGTGTGGTAAGTTGTAAATATGTGTTATTTTAGTTTTATGAATTTTTAGTTATTAATGGTATAAAAGTACTTTTTTTTAAATAATTAAAAAACAAATCGACAACCTAACCCAACTCAACCGATAACATTGTGAACCATATTCGAATGGATAGCTTCGATGTTCGCCCTTAGAAATATAAGAATACGTCAATAAAGTATTTTTCTAATTACATTTAATTTTTATATTTATTAAGATTCTCAAAAATTTTATTTTGTGTCATTAATTTAATAGATAAAAAAAAAATAATAAGATCTTATTAGACACTATTTAATTTATTAATTTACTAAAATTTCAAAATTTCTCGAACAAACAAGAAATCTATGTAGTACATAATAAAACATTTTTATGTTACGTTTAAAATTTTATTAGATACACGACTAAAATCTAAAAATCGAGATATTTTCTAAAATTTAAAAATCTAACCGACACGAACTTAAAAAGTTGAATACCCAACTTTGGGCCCTAAACATTAGTACCTGGGTCCGCCCTTGCCAGCACCTCATGCGCCAAACTGTGGTTGGCTACTGTTGGTACTGCATGCATGGCCAGCCTATAGGCGAAGGTGAGATGTCCGATGGTGAACCCACAACTAAGTGTATATCCTTTATGAACCTCCTGCCTTCTGGGAGATCCTCCTCGTCCTCCTCATCTCTGTATTATTAATTGGTAGGGCCTCGGCCTGTTTTCTTGTGTTCTTTGCAACATGGTCATGTTAATTCTACTGTGTTCATCACTTGATGGTCCCGACATGGTCAGGTTACTTACGTGTCAAGACTATTCCCACAAACTAACACATATCATTTTAACATAGTTTGTCCTCATTTACAATCTCATTTCTTAAAGCCTTGCTAACGATTTTTGTATTATAAGGATAATTTTGAACCATTTACGAAAGATGAACGGTTTGTTAAAATATCATCACTAGCCAATAAAGTCAAACTCAATAATTATACATTTAACAAAAATGATTTAGATATTTTAGGAATAAATTGTCTAATATCTACTATAAATATCTTCCACCCTACCTACGTTCTCATCCCTACCGAACACAGCAATAATAGCAATAGTTTTTAGAGTGTCTTTTAATCTTTCATCGACTGATTTTAATAAAGAGTGAGGAAACTTTTGCATGTTTCTGTTACCTTTTGGGAGGCCTACGAGAGGTGGATCGAATCAGAAATGAACAAAGCGTAATTTAAAAGGAGTGATTTGTTACGGAGGATTATTATTGAGAATAACAAAATTCCAGAAAGAGTTGCGTTTAATATGATAATATTACAATTTTTGAAATAAGAGAATTGTTGATCACAATAATATTACAATTTTTTAAATAACAGAGTTTTTTAAACCAATTGTAAATAAATAACATAACAAACACATAAAAACAATATAATTATAATAATTTAAGCTTTATCCACAACATATACGGTGATGGGGCTTCTCACATGGTGATGCCCATCGGTCCACAACAGAGCAGCAGAGACAATGGGTTGGTTGACACCGCCACGAACCGTCACCGTGAAGGACTTCTTCTGACCAATGGCATTGAAGGAAAGAGCAGGAGGGTTGACTGAGATGGTCAGGCCACGCGGGGCGCCAAGGACCTTGGCTCTGTATGTGGCTACCTTTGACCCAACGTTTGTGACGGTTCTTCTGAAGAATTGGTTGATGGATTCTGATGGGGTGGAAGAAAGTGCGAAGGAAGGGTAGTTGAGGTCCCAAACTCGGCCGGAGTTGGCGCGAGTGCAGACGCTATGGTCGCCGGAGAGACGGCGGACCATGGCAGTGGTGTAGCCTTGACCACACAAGAACCTAACGTAGTCGCTTTCCTGTGCGTCGTACACCAACCCTGGGTTTACTGCTTTCACTGGGTTGATGTGGCCTGCGCCGTACGCGAACTCGGCTTGCGGGTTCAGCTTCGGGTTCAACGGAATAGCTGTAGAAAGTAAATCCACCCGAGTTAAAAAAAAAAAATTAATTTAAAAATATCTTTAAATTTTTAATTTTTAAATGATACCTTTAATTCATATTTTATACCAATTTTAAAAAAAATCAAAATTTTATTTGAATTTTTAAGAGTATTTAAAAAATACTCCAAAGAAGCAATTAATTTTATTAATACCAAACTTCAAAAATATCTAATTTTTTTAAAAAAATTAAAAAATTCTATAAGTTTATCTTGAAGAGATGATTGTGTAATAGTAATAACTTTTTTATTTTTTTTAATAATAAGTTAAAGGGTATTAATGTAATTTTAAAAAATCAGTATTTTTGAAACTTTTTAAAAATTTTAAAAGCCTTATTAAAACATTTGAAAGTTTTATGTAAAAAAAACATATGACTTTGTTGTCATTACCTGTTGTCATGAGAGCTGATTTGATGGCAGCAGGAGACCATGAAGGGTGGAATGTTTTGACATACACAGCAGCTGCAGTAGCATGTGGGCAAGACATCGACGTCCCTGAAATTATATTGTAGAGCGTCGTCCTCGAATCGCTAACTCCGCTAGAGACCGACGCAATGGGTGACCATGCTGCGAGAATTTCGACTCCTGGGGCAGTCAAATCCGGCTGCATGCATACAAATTCACTAAAACTAAGCATCTTAACAAAACCATATATACATTCAAATCTGAAACTACACTAAAAAGGTTTAACCTTGAGAATGTCGTAGGTTTCGGGATTGGGTCCTCGGGAGGAAAAGGAAACTATTAAAGGAGCAGATGTATCGTTCACTGCGTTACTCTTGAAAATGGTTGCTGTTGGAAATCTATCGATTCACAAATCAAGCGGAGTTAATATTTAAACAAAGGATATCGAGATCTTAAATTTATGAACATGTCGAAACGTACTTGTTTGAACCCATGTAGGTTTTGATGTTGTTACCAGCCACCGGGCCGAGGTAGGAAGAAGGTAAGGGATATGATCTTGAATTGTCTTTCACGCCAGCATCATTCATAACGACGCCAACCGCGCCATTGAAGGAAGCAAATGTTGAAGGGGACAATATGGAATCACAAAGAAGGATTTTTCCCCTCACCAAATTGCGATCTACTGAGTTTCTCGAACAAAATCTGTTCGAATAATGTAAGAAAAATGTTAGTAAAATAAACCCTAAAATTAGAGACGTCTATGCAAAAAGGTGTGATCTGTCCCAAACTGAATGAGAAATTTCTGTTTAAACCAGAAATGGGGGAGAGAGCGGGAGTGAGATTTTTTCCCATAAGCTAAATGGGGCTGAGGACGGGATTATATTCATTGTTTTTGTCCCTGCCCAACCCACCCCGAACACTTCATATGGGGAATCCGATCCCCACGAATTCTCTATAGGAAATCTCCATAAAAATAAATAAGAAATTTCACATGAACAAGGATTGAAATAGGAGGCAGAGACGGGGATCCTATCCCCGCTCCACCCCATGGACATCTTTGGTCCCATATGGTTAATTACCTGGAGCTCGAGCCAGTGAAGCCACCAGAAACATTGGGTGCATTTCCAGCATAAATTAGCGGATATTGTTTTCCTTTAAGATCAAACGTGTTAATTGTATATCCCTGCGTCCAAAATTTGAGTATGTTCGTGAGATATCATTTCAAATTAATGTTCGAAAGATCGATACTCGTACGACGGAAAAAAGTATCACCTGATAGACATTTTTGTTGCCAAGCTGCACTTTTGATACCAACTTTCTATCAATGGAGCTTGCAGCCACAGAAAGAGACCATGGAGAGAAATTCCTGATGGTGAAGTAGTCAGGGCCGTCGTTCCCGGCGGAGTTGGATGTCAATATCCCATGCTTCATGGAGTGGAAAGCTCCAATGGCAATTGAATCATTGAAGTAATACTTGGGCTTGTTCCCCCCAACCGATAGCGATATGATATCGACACCGTCCGCGATTGCGTCGTCGAACGCTGCAAGAATATCGGCATCGTAGCACCCATCGGACCAACATATCTTATACACAGCAATGCGCGCAGACGGGACCCCTCCTCTAGCTGTGCCAAGCGCAAGACCATATAAACTTGCTTGGTTCACGAGACCACCTGCCACGGTCGATGCAGTGTGTGTCCCATGACCGTCTGAATCTCTTGGACTTTTGATGTCTTCGGGAGGAAACAAGTTGTCACTACGGTATGCTCGAGCTCCAATGATTTTTCTGATAGTTAGTTCAAACCATTTGAATGTTATTACTTTATAGAAATAGACGGTTTTTATTCATATACTGACGATAATAACTTTTTTTAATGTTACCTGTTGCAGCGAAAGTTGGCGGAGGTTTGGCAAGCGCCCTTCCATTTGGCTGGTGGAGGGCCATAACCAACGTCGCTGAAGCTAGGAGACTCTGGCCAGATTCCACTGTCCAAAACTCCGACGACTATGTTGCTTTCGACTTGTTTTACGCGACGAACACTTTTAGTAAAACCCATGAAATCCCATGATCTTGTCGTGTGAAGATGTTTCTTTCCATTTGGAAACACCGAGACAACACCCTCCTTAGCTGAAACATTCCAAATTATGCACTCAGTTTGGAACATGACCTTAAAATGCTAAATGGATGAGCTAAACTATAAGAGTTCGATCACTCGAAAAATTTGATCAACTTAACCTAAAATGTACCGTTTTATTTAAATTATACTGAAACTGATTAGATTGAATTAATGGATAGAAATTTATTATTAATTTAAAAAATACATTTTTCTTACCCTACAATTATATTTATTTATTTATTAATTAATTAGACCACTCTCAAAAATAATTTTTAATTATTTAGAAGGTTATTTTTTAAAAATATATACGGATATTAACCCAAATCTTAATTAAATATTTAAAAATAAATAAATAGATGTTTTACGAACTTATATTAAATTTGAATAAATTATTTAAATAACCCGAACCAACAAAATTCAAAATTTTTATAATTGGGTTCATTATTTAACTCGGGTTGAAAAAATTTAACTTGAACCATTAGATTTAGTTAAAAAATATCTCAATTCAATCGACGAACAGTCTTAAGCTACAAATTTAATGGGGTTTGAATAATCATACGTACCCGAAATCTTTTGAGCTTCTTCTTCAGTGAGCTTAACGACGAATCCATTGAAACTTCTCTTATAGCTATGGAGTAGCGCGTCGGGAGCGAATGTGCTAAGAACAAACAAATTTACAAAAATGAGTGCATGTTTTCATAGAAATTGTGATAAAAATCAATGAAAGATTATGAACCTGCCAACCACTTCCTCCAACATTCTCATATGATGTGAAGGAGTGGAAGCTGAATCCTCAGGCTTGTTCCCCAAGTACACAATATAAACCTGCAAATTAAAGAGAACAAACGCTTTAAAATCTGGAACGTTGAATCCGATCGATCGGGAAATGAAGGTCGGTCGTTTATACCTTTCGGCCATCGTTGTCGGAAGAATCAAGGCTAGAAGCGAGCAGGCTACCCGAGAAGCTGATGAAGATAACCAGCTTGAAGATCAGAGAGGAAGACATGATGCTTGTTGTTCAAGAACATGAAGAGGAATTATGGCCTTTTTATACGAGAAAAAGTCGTATCCTTAGCCATTGAACATCCTGGGAGTCATGTTCTAAAAGTCTTTGTTTGTTATTAAAATGATTTAATCTTGATGATTAAACAAAACAATTGGCAGCTTGACTCCGGGTCGCCCGCTTCGGTTTTAATCCTTTCAAAAATTTTCATTTATTTTTGTGGGAGTCGGAGTGGAATTTCTAGGAAGAATTTGTAAGGATAAGTTCGTGAGAAAAAAGAATTTTAATATTACGACTTAAATATACATAAGATGGAGTCGGGATTGAATATGGGTTCGATCCCATTTAGTCAATGGAGTGAAATTTCTTTCCAATTCTTCTCTCGATCACTCTCCTTCCGAGTAATGGATCTAAGTTCAAATTCTGACCTTGAGCCCACTGCGGGTAGATATTGTCCAGTTTTGCCTGATAGGTATTCACGTCAGCCTCGCAGTTTAAAAACACGTAGAGAAGTTTTCACACTCTTATAGGAATATTTCGTTCTCGTCTTCAACCAATATGGGATCTCACAATCCACCCCGTTGGAGATCCAACGTCCTCGTTAGCACACCGCTCAGTGGCTGGCTCTAATACAATTTATAATAGCTCAAGTTTATAGCTAGCAGATATTATCTGTCTGTTACATATCGTTATCAATCTCACGGTTTTACAATGTGTCAGTTAAGGAGGGGTTTCCATACCCTTATAAGAAATGTTTTGTTCTTCTCTCCAACTAATGTGGGATCTCACAATCCATCCCTTGGAGACCCAACGTCCTTGTTGACACACAGTCTAGTGACGGGCTCTAATACAATTTATAATAGCTCAAGTCTACCTCTAGTAGATATTATCCGCACGTTACATATCGTTCTCAGTCTCACGATTTCAAAACGCATCAACTAGAGAGAGGTTTCCACACCCTTAAAATGAATGTTTTGTTCTTCTCTCCAACCAACATGGGAATCTCACATCTACACTCATTTGAAGTGGGTCTCAACGAGTTAAATAAACATTTCTACTTCTAAATTGTTCTTACGAATCGTTCAAACTCCGAACAATATCAATAAAATAAAATAAAAACACATGAAATAACAAGAAGCACGAAGGTGCACGTTATAGAAGTTTGGTTTTTTTTTTAAGATTTGGGGTTTGAATTGGTGGAAATATGCATCAAAGTTTAATAATAATATTGGCATGTGGATATCAACTTAGCAGCCTGGTTTCCGCGTTGATATCATCTTACCATTCCCTCTCCTTCTCTTTCTCAGCTTGACTTAACCCAATAGCTACCAAAAGTCATAGGGAGAGTTTAACAATTCCTTTCACATTACAATAATACTTTATTCCGTTTGACTATTTTAAATATAAACTAAACCCTAAACGCCTTCGTTCGTTCGTTCGATCGATCCGAATACCGTTTACGAGTAAAATTCAGCTCATCAATCAACCAAAATCCAACCCATTTAAAATAACACTTTAATATGAGTTATAGTCTTGGTTTTTTTTTTCACTTTAGTCCCTCGAGTTTAAAAAGTTTCAAGATAGTCCTTTACGCTTCACGTTTTTTTATAACATATGCTATACCTTAAAATTTTAGAAATTTTCGGGGGTGAAATTAATTATTATTATTATTATTTTTATCAAAATCTTTAAAATCTAGAGGTTGAATTAGAAACGAGATATATTATAATGTTTTTTTTTAAAATTAAAATTTTAAAATATAAGAAATTTAAATTTAGTGACCTAACTAAAAAAAATACTCAAACATTAGGGACCAAAATATATATTTATTCGAGAAAATATATTCTTGGATTACTCCGAACGTCTTGTGTCTAATGTTATTAAGATTTCAATGACACCTCATTTTTATTTAATTACGTTTTAACTTATTTTATAAGAAATAATCTTTAAATGATTTTTTTATACAATAAGGATAAAAGAGAGAATTTTAAAATATTAAATATAATAATACTCGTTCTTTAATTAATTTTCATTAATAATTGTTCTATAAAAATTATTTACGAGAGTTTTATTAAATTATAATTTTAAAAATCATAGAGTAAATTTTAATTTTTTTTTATAAATAATAAATTTTCTCCTTAATTAAATTACAAGTTTTTCAGAAATTTTTTAATTAATTAATTAATTTTTAATAAACGAGTTTTCCGGAGTTGACCCTAATTTAATGCTTGAAATTTACATTATTAAAACAAATCCATTTGTAATTAATTATTAATCACCCATTTATCTTAAATTGTCTAATTAATATGCCATCGGACGGCCAGAAATATTCAATATATTTTAAAATCTACCTTAAAATACACTTTTTCACGTTTCTATTTTTTATTATATTTTTTTAATTAAAAAAAAACATGTTTTGAATCATTACATATAATAATATTTTCTAAAAACATAAATTTCTCAATTTATTTAGAAAATCAATAATTTAAATAAATAATTAATATAAGAAAATGTTAAATCGGGCACAGTCGAGACTTTATTAGGTTATAGGTGTGTACCTTTACACACCCACATATGCTCGACTTGAGATGGGCTTTCGAGTCTTTTGGCTTGACAACTTTTTTAATTTGGGCTAATCTTGCTCGAGGTCATGTATAATCCCCGTTTGATCTTTGGGTAAGTCTAATTATCCCAGTTTACTCATACACAGTAATTTCACACGCCCAAACTAAGATGTGTAGCTTTGTGCTATATGCACGATGTAATTTGTCATACCCATAGTAGGATTCTAAAATTTAGTTTTGTTTTGAAATTAATTCACCATTTCAATTTGATCAACAAATAAATTTAAAAAAAAATGAATTCATTTTAAAATAATTAGAAAAAAAATCATTCTTTTTTTTTTACTAAGGTCGACCTGAAGGGAACCTTCGCTAGCTGCAACAATGCACCTCGACTCGACATTATTATTTTAGTAAAACCTTAAGTCTTAACAATTACTTTTATATTCTAATTTGTCGCTCCGAGCTTCTTAGGCCCGAGTCATGATTATGGACTTTGACACTGTGCTTAGCTTGGGTGAGACCGAAACTAAGCTTATAAAGTTTTCCTAAGCGACGTGCATGTTTGAGACATGTTCCGATAGAGTTTGGATCACTTCGATTGACAATCTTGGACAAAGACGAGGGATATATCGAGTTGTTGGCCTTGATTTAAATTAATTTGAGCTCAAACGGGCTCGTGTCATAAAAATTTATGAATTTATTACAAGTTTTTTAAAGTTTAGATAATAAACTGATAATTATTATTTTTATATAAAAATATACTAATTATTGTTTAATATTTATAATTTCTATTTATTAGTCTCTTATTTATTAACATTTTTTAATTTATTCTATAATTCTAGAATTTCCAAAAAAAAAATATTTTTTAGACCAAAATATTACATTAAAATTTAGTTAATTACATCAAATCACCATAATTTAATTAAAATTGTAATTCAAATAACGATAAATACGAATAAAATAAAATAAAATAAAATAAAATAAAATAAAAAAAAAAAACCCTAATTGGCGTTTCTCCCATTCTCCCTCTGTGAGTTTACAGGACCCATCCCCACCTGACATTTCCTTTCTCTTGCCGGCGCTCGTCTCTACAGCCACTGGTTATCTTCTCTAATTCAAAATTCGCAAAGGATTTTCAGAGGTATGTTCGTCTTTTTCTGGGATTCTTCTTCGTTTCTTCTGCAGTTTTCCAATCCATACGATTTTACTCTGTTGGTTTTTTTTTTTTTCTCTGTTTTACGATTCAGTTTTTGTAGATTCGTGCTCTGTAATTGAATTTGCGAGAGAGAATGGCTTCTCGTTTCTGGTCCCAGGTATTGCGTTCGGTCTAAACTTTCATGTCATTAATATATGGGTTCTGATTTGAGTGGAACTAGTGAGGCCATTTTATCGTCTAAGTCCACTGACGTAATGTGGATTTGTAATTCATTATTTTTCTTTGTTTATGATTTTTTTAAACAGGGTGGTGGTAGTGGTAGTGATTCTGAAGCGGAGAAGAGTGACTATGATGAAGAGATTGACGACCTACAAGCTGATCCTAGCTCCCAAGCGAATAGAAGCAGATATCTGCAAGGGAATGCCAGTGACAGTGACGATTCTGATAAAGATAGACGTACTGTCAGGTCGGCTAAAGATAAGCGTTTTGAGGAGATGTCTGCTACTGTGGATCAGATGAAAAATGCAATGAAGATCAATGACTGGGTAAGCTTGCAGGAGAGTTTTGATAAAATAAATAAGCAGCTTGAGAAGGTCATGCGTGTTATGGAGTCCGAGAAGGTCCCAACTCTTTATATTAAAGCACTTGTGATGTTGGAGGACTTCCTAAATCAAGCCATGGCTAATAAGGAAGCTAAGAAGAAAATGAGCACTAGCAATGCTAAGGCCTTGAATTCAATGAAACAGAAGCTAAAGAAGAACAATAAGCAATATGAAGAGTTAATTACTAAGTGTAGGGAGAATCCTGAGGTTGAGGAAGAAAAGGATGATGAGATGGAAACGGAGGATGATGATGATGATGATGATGATTCTGTAATTGAGGGGGACCCTACTAAAATTTTGTCAGGATCAGAAGATGAAGAGGACGACGAAGAAGACCAAGAGGAGCCCGATGGCCCTTGGGTGAAACAGTTGAGCAAACGGGATAAGCTCATTGATAAGCAGTTTATGAAGGATCCGAGAGAGATCACATGGGACACTGTGAACAAGAAATTTAAGGAGGTTGTGGCTGCCCGGGGTAGGAAGGGAACTGGAAGATTTGAGCAGGTTGAGCAGCTTACGTTCTTAACAAGAGTTGCCAAGACCCCTGCACAGAAGCTTGAGATTTTGTTCAGTGTTATATCTGCTCAATTTGATGTTAATCCAGGTCTCAGTGGGCACATGCCTATCAATGTGTGGAAGAAGTGTGTGCAAAATATGCTTTCTATTATTGACATTCTTATGCAGAATTCTAACATTGTGGTGGATGATATGGTTGAACCTGATGAGAACGAGAGCCAGAAGCCAGCAGACTATGAGGGCACAATTCGTGTTTGGGGAAACTTGGTTGCTTTTGTTGAGAGGATTGACACTGAGTTTTTTAAGAGCTTGCAGTGTATTGATCCACATACACGTGAGTATGTTGAAAGACTCAGAGATGAGCCAATGTTTATGGTTCTTGCTCAGAATGTCCAAGAATATTTGGAACGAACTGGGGATTACAAAGCAGCTTCAAAAGTTGCCTTGAGACGTGTCGAACTGATCTATTACAAACCACAAGAGGTTTATGATGCCATGAGAAAGCTCGCAGAGCTGTCCGAAGATGGAGCTAGTGGAGATGCTAGTGAGGAGGCTAAAGTTGCAGAAGAGATTAGGGGCCCTGCTGCATTTATTGTCACGCCGGAGGTTGTACCTCGTGTACCCACCTTTCCAGAGAGTAGTAGATCTTTTATGGACATTCTGGTGACCCTTATATACCAATATGGAGACGAGCGCACTAAAGCACGAGCTATGCTCTGTGATATTTACCACCATGCGCTCTTTGATGAATTTTATATTTCTAGTGACTTGTTACTGATGAGTCACTTACAGGATAGTATTCAACACTTGGACATTTCAACACAGATCCTTTTCAATAGGGCAATGGCTCAACTTGGTCTATGTGGATTTCGGGTTGGCCTGATTAGTGAAGCACATGCCTGCCTTTCAGAATTATATTCTGGTGGGAGGGTGAGGGAATTGCTTGCACAAGGTGTCTCACAAAGCCGATATTATGAAAAGACTCCAGAGCAGGTATTGTTCCTTGATTCCATCTTAGACTAATGTATTGATGCATGTATAGTGTATATGCTGTCCAGATGCCTGTGCTTCAAGTAGCATGTGTGTTTTCTTTAAAAGAAAATAAAGTTTATTAGAAAGATAGTATCTACTAATATATAACACTTGGTAGGTGCTTGTATGATTCTTTTACCCTGCAGTACAAACGTGGGATTTATGGATCTCATTTATTTGTGCAACCAATTTGATTTGTTTTGTGGGATAAAAATCTGACACCAAAATGGCTTATGGATTAGTTGTGGCCTTTCTGCTACATTTGTTTTAGATTAAATGTGCAATAGTTTGCGGCTTGGTAAAGTATAATTTTCCCTTCACTAGGTACTTCATAGTTTTAGTATTGGACTAGATGCCTTCTATACACGAGATTTGTCTTGAAAAGCTCCTTTAGTTTTTTGGAGGGATCTCTATTTTCCTGCTCCTAGGCTGTCTTCCTTTTCCTTTTTTCCTTTTTTTTTCCCTTAAAAAAAAAAGCGAGCAGATGTTCATGTGGCTGGATAAGATGTGTTCTTGTTAGTGATGAAAATGAAAGGAGAGTTCAATAGTTTATAATCTACAGGCTCATTTTTTGGTCAAGGTTAAGCGTGCGTAGTTTGTTCCTAGTAGTTGAGAGCTTTAGTCATACCCTGTTAGGTGTCTAACATAATGTGCTTTTATCTTAAGATTTAGCCTCTAATTTCATCGTGTTCCTCCTTTTTTGTAGAATAACTTCACAAATTTGACTCGTCTCCTTGTTTATTCTGGTATTTTTATGTAAAATAATTGTTTGGCAACAAACTTCAATTGAGCTTTTAGTTACAGCATTGATCTGCTGATGCCTGTTTCCATTGTTTATTGAATTAGTCTAGCCAGATTAGCGATCGATCTATTATTAAATGAAATTAAAAGTAGCTTTATGCTCCACTAATATTATACTTCAGCGCTTGTATTTTACAAAATTGTTTATTTGTTTGTTTTCCATAATCAATTTCAGGAAAGGCTTGAAAGGAGGAGGCAGATGCCATACCACATGCACATAAATCTTGAGCTCCTGGAGGCTGTGCATTTAATATGTGCTATGCTGCTGGAAGTTCCCAACCTGGCAGGCAGTGTTCATGATGCAAAGCGCAAGGTTATTAGCAAGAACTTTAGAAGGTTACTGGAGGTGAGTGAGAGACAAACGTTCACTGGTCCTCCCGAGAATGTCAGAGATCATGTAATGGCTGCTACCAGAGCACTTCGCAAGGGCGATTTCCAGAAAGCTTTTGATGTCATTGCATCTTTAGCTGTATGGAAGCTACTTAGAAATTGTGATGATGTGCTGGAAATGGTTAAAGTAAAGATCAAGGTGGAAGCTCTGAGGACGTACCTTCAAACGTACTCTTCCTCATATGATTCTCTGAGTTTGGACCAGCTGACTCGAATGTTCGACATCGCAGAGGGTCAAACACACAGTATTGTTAGCAAGATGATGATAAATGAGGAGCTCCATGCAAGTTGGGACCAGCCAAGTGGATGTGTCATCTTTCATGATGTTGCGCTCACCCGGTTACAGGGCTTGGCGTTCCAGTTGGCAAATAAGCTGTCTATCCTTGCTGAAACTAATGAGAGGGCAGTGGAGGCAAGAATAGGAGGAGTAGATTTACCGATGAGGCGAAGAGACAACCAAGAGTATGCTGCCGGAGCTGTAGGTGGTGGTAGCAGGTGGCCAGACAATCAAGGAAGGCAAGGTGGCGGTAGTTCGCGTGCAGGGTATAGCAATGGAGGGCGTGGCGAAGGTGGGGGTGGCGGATATGGTAGAGACCGGACGGGTCAGTCACGAGGAGGCAATGCAGGAGGATATCAAAGCACCCGTTATCAAGACGCTGCATATAGATTGGGGAGGAGTGCTTATCAGTCTGGTTCTGTCCGAGGATCCCAGATGGGTGCTTCAGCTCGCATGGTCAGTCTCAACAAAGGGGTTATTGCTTAAAGAAAAACTACCGCTGTACGTGGGGACACTTCCTTGGAGAACTTCACCAATTTCGCTTTAGGCTATTTTTGAACTGAGATATCGGAAGGAGTTTTGTATCCCTTTCTTTGACCTTTTTGATATAGAGCACCCACAGTTTGCATTGTTTCAATAATACGTATAACGCTACGTGCCAAGTTTTTAAAAGTTCTAGGACTTCTAAAAAACATTTTTTACGATGCTGTTCAAATTTAGTTTCGACATTTCAAAAAAATTAAAAAGAAAGTGTTCATTCTTCTTCCTTAGGTCAGTGTCAAATTGTTATTGGGATAGACGTAAAATTGATGAATTTCAAGCTGAAAGAAATTGAATTCGTTCAAAATCCAACTAGTTTGATATCAAATTGTAGGAATGAAAAATAAATTCATCCCTAGGTTTATTTTTCATTTTTCATTGCATCAAGATTAACACTCAAATCTAAAGTTTATTTATTTTTAGTATTCCATTGGCAATTGTTAAATTAAATTTTAGTGCATAACACAACACAATGAAAAACGCTAGCTAGATGGGCTAGCTCACAATGACTCTACATGAATCGTTTCAGACAACATAAGAAAAAGAAATACAAAACTCTTCCGCATACGCGATACTCTATCTCTTCAGGGAATTCCAAGTTACTAACTAGAAGGCATTAGACTATGATAAAATTTCATAAAAATAGAAACCCCTATGTAAAAGTTAAAATAATAAGCTGACCTCGTGAAGAATCAATCGGTTGGATATCCAGATGAACCCTTTTCGATATAAATAAATCTGAAAACAATTTCTCCTTAAAAGACCACTTTTGCCACCATAAGAAAGAAACCTCAGTAACTAAGCAGCAGCATTCTTTTTGTTTCTGAAGCTCTCCTTCATTGATGTGATTTTTTTCTTGCATTGGTTCACTGTCTTCCCAGGAACGGCGGCTGCAACCCTCTCCCATCGCTGGCTGGTCTCCTTTGGGAATGTTTTCAGAGCTTGGACTAGTGCTCTTTCTTGTACAGCTGACCAATCATCTTGATCTGAACTAGAGGATACTCCATTTGCAGATGAATCGTTAGGAGTTTGGTTGTTTACATTTTGGCTTGAAGACGTGTCAAGATTACCGTTAGTTGCTGGATTGTCTTCAGGTTTTTGAGAGGACGAACCTACTAATTCTTCTCTAGTTGAAAGTGGAGATGCAATGGACTGCGCTGGTTTCCTTTTCTCAAGAAATGAGTCAAAAGCTTTCGAAGAGTCGGGCTTCTGTAAGAGGATCGTTTTGGTTGCCTTCAAAATTTCTTCCACAGATCTTTTTGTGCCAATGTACTCTGAGATAACCTCCCATCTACGAGAAGTTCCTTTAGGATATTTCTGCATTCCTTTCCTTAAGAGCTCGATTTCATCTTTACTCCAAGGCCTCTCCTTCTTCGGAAGGCTGCTGCTTAATGGGGCCCCAGCATTAGCAGATGTAAAACCATTCTGGTGTCCTGTTTTCTTGCCTTCTGGTTGCTTTCTCTCCGAATAACTGCATTCCTGTGCGTCTTTGAGAACTTTGGCAAGCTCCATTCCTGTTTTTCCTTCCATTTTATCACAAATACTTCTCAGCTGCTCAATGTCAAGAGATGAACAGAGATTTTCTACATCTTCCTCAGAAAGATCAAGCAAAGACTGAGATACAATAGGCCCAGAAAGCGTTCTAAGACGAGTCCGTTCTTTGCGCAGGAGTTTCTTCTCTCTCTCTTTCACCTTTTTCTGTTGTTGAGCCACTTCTGCTGCTCGTCTATCCTCCTCCTCCTTCCTTCGTTTCTGATCTTCAGCAAGCCTAATAGCTTCCTCTTCCTGTAACTTCTTTGCCAAAAATTTTGCTTCCTTCTTCCTCTGCTTTTGAGCTTTCTCTTCCTCCTTCCTTCTTTGTATTCTAGGGTCTCTTTTGTAAGCATTATCTACTAGAGTACGAATCCTAGCATATTCTTCCTTTCTAGCCTTTTCTGAAAGTTTAGCATTCTGCCTCTCCATCCACCTCTTGTGGTCCCGAGACTCTGCTTGCTCAAGATCAAATTCATCAGTGTGTGGGAACTCCCTCCAACTTTTAAAGCTATACCAAAAGTTATAGAAATCATCAACTTCTTTCAATGGTGTTTTATCATCACCCAATGATGGAATAGATTGGTTTACAGACCAACGCCCATTCCTCATAAAAGCTGGACCAAACACCTTAAAGAAATCTTGCGGAGCACAATCAGTTGGAACCTCATCATCAAACTCGTCTGTTGAGTCATAAATTCTTCTTTTGACAGGATCAATTAAGACTTCATACGCTTCTTGAATCAATTTAAAATGAGTTTCTATTTCATCCTTCTTTGCTTGTTTTGCAGCTTCAGTTTCCTCGGCAAGAAGAAGTGCAGCTTGTTTGTCAGGATGATACTTCAAAGCAGTTTCACGATAACTTTTTCTTATCTGTTCCTCTGTGGCTAGATATCTCAAATTGCTCAAACCCAACAATGCATAATGATCTTGTTGGGTGGATCCACCAGATTTCTTTTTACCTTTGCTACTATATGAATCAAATGATGGAGCATATTTCTGTTCTGCATCATCAGACGTCTGCTCATTGTCATCACTCACTTCCTCATCCTCACAACCAAGGAGTTTGAGGGCAGCATTATGGAAGGCATGGCCAGCAGGTTCGTACTTAAAAGCCTTAATTGGAAGACAATTTGAGGAAACATAAATCGGCTGTCCATCTACAATCTCGTCTGAATAGGTTAGAAGACGCAAATTGGCAAGGACAGTCATGGCATCAAAAGAATCCACTGGACCAAGATGATATTCTGTGAAAAATTTCCTCAATTTGTCGGAACTTTGTACCTCCAAACTGCACAAGCAAAAAACATCAAAAATAAATTCTAACAAAAATAAAAAACCAAACAGAAGGCATACAAAATGCACAAACAGTGCTAAGGTTCTATGGTAGGAAACCAAACATTCATTGAAAAATATGAAAAAAAAAGAAAGTACAAAAAAAAAAATACAAACAAACAATCGCAAGGAACTCCAAGAAGGGACTCCAATCCAATTGAATTAAACCAAGATCATAATTACTCAAAGGCCTAAAGACGATCCTCACAAGGAGACATTAGACCTCACCACCTCCTCACAAAGAACGCTTCCTATCTTTAAATCCTATTGTTTTCCTTGAGCCAGACACCCCGCAAGATAGCCCACAAGATGGTGAAGATTCTAGCATGCCATAGCCACATTCACGAGTAACTTAGCCTAAACAGTGCTAGGGTTGGATTCAGGGAAGCAAGAAACTCAAGAAGAATGCAGTTTTAAGATATCAGCAGGATGCAGACCAACACCGTTCCAAACAAAACCACTCAACGTCTTCAAAGTTCAATCCACATATTCGCTACTACATCAAGAATCATTGAAAACCCTAACCTCCTCGCCATCCTCTCGTAACGTGCAACAATGACAACAGTCAGAATCGATAGACTAAAAATCGCTTCGTTCGGTACATTTAAAAAGATACGAAAACCAAATCAAACAGAACTACAAGACCGAATTCGAAAGAAGACGAATCATCATACCAAACAAACAAACAAACAAACAAAAAGATGAAAACACGAAAAAAAGAGAAATTTAGACGGACCTAAACTTACGGAGACAGAAAGAAATTAATAAAGATTCACCGGATGATGAAAGCTGATGAAGAGCTCGCCGAGCTCGATCCGTCGGCAGAAATAGATTTCCGGTAACCCTCCTTTCGTTCGCTAATCTCTTCGGCCTAAAACTGCAGCCCTCAGGTTGTCAGGTATTTATAGGGCTAAATCTTGCAGTCTACCTCAAGTTTCTCCCCGTTTTAATTTTGAATAAATAACTCTCATGAATTATATTTAGAAAATTAGCCTTATTTTTTCCCTAAAATATCGCCTCTTTATAAGGATTTTTTTTTTTCTGTCAAAAGAAGAATATATATTTTTTATTTTCTTTCTTTCTATTGTTTTTTTCAAAATATATAAATAAATAAATAAATATATATATATATATATATATATATAAGCAGTAGTTGAATTATTGATGAAACCGAAATAGCTATTAATTTCTGATTAGTGTCAACTAAATTAAATTCTTTTAATTAAAAAAATAAACAATTCTACGTAACCCGACTAAATTAATATAAATATTCATGAACTATAAACTTTTAATAAATTAAAAAAAAACCCTTAATTTTTTAAATATTTAATTAATACCTTAAACTTAAAATTTTTAAAATACCTACAATTAGTATTATATTTTAAAAAATAGTATTAATACATTTTATAAATATAAAAAAATTAATTTTTTTTTACGGTCAACAATATTTTTAAACTTAAAAGTTAGAGTGTATTTTTTAAATATTTTAACATTTTTAAGCATATTTTTAAAACAAAACAAGTATTAACAATCTTGGTCCAAAATTAATAATAAATATATTTATTAGATTTTTTTTATTTTAGCCACGTGATTAAATGTAAAATGAAAAATTATTATTTAAAATAGTTAGTTGATTTTTAATTAAAATAATCAAAGTTTATTATTATATCATAAAATGGAAAAAATCTATAAGTTTTTAGATATTGTTTAATATGTAATCATTATTTCCATATATACAATCATTATTTCCTCTTCATCTTGTTTTATTATTATACCTTAATTTGATTTTGTTTGGAATTATGTTTTTTTAAATTTTGTCCATATTCGAAAATACTTAATTATTATAAATGCCTTTTAAAAAATAGTTTAAATTATAATTTTAAAAATTAGAGTTTCATTAAAACCATATAAAAAATATATATGTCTAAAACGGCTTTAAACAATTGCATTAAAAACTATGTAATTTTTTTAAAAATTATATAAAATTGTAAATGAATGTGATGAAGCGATCACGAGCTCCAATGGTAGTTGAGGATTAGATTGATAGCAACAACGACATCAAATGTATCAAACCTAGAACGACACAAGAATGAGATGTGTGGGATTCTACGTCGGATAGAGAGAGAAACGAAACATTGTTTATAAACGTGTGGAAACTTTTCCTTAATAGACACGTTTTAAAACCGTGCGGCTGACGACAATACGTAACGAGCCGAAGCAAAAAAACATCTGCTGACAGTGGATTTGAG